CCATCTCTACTAAAAATACAAAGTAGCTGGGCATGGTGGCGGGCACCTGTAATCCCAGCTACTCAGGAGACAGGCATGAGAATAGCTTGAACCTGGGGGGCAGAGGTTGCAGTGAGCCAAGATGGTGCCATTGCACTCCAGCCTGGGCGACAAGGATAAAACTCCATCTGAAAAAAAAAAGAAACTGGATTTCTCAGTTGTTTAAGTAATCATGGTGGGGGTCTAACCCCACAGGACTTTTTTCTTTCCAAGAAAGAAAAGTGGTCTCATGTCATGCAGGGGCAGTTGGTATTGGTTAATCTAGGTTTATCTGTTATTTTGTAGGAATTGTAAAGTCATTTCTGCGACAGTGCAGCATACACACTCCTCAAAGTTACCACACTATGCAAAATCGCACAGTAAAACCGACACGACTCATAGGGAAAAGGGGGCCAGGGCACAGCCCTCAAAAACTTCATCAGTAACATGTAAAAATAGAGCTAGGAACCTGGAAAATAGCAGAGTGCTTTTTGCACATAAATTGTTAGATACATCCCACAGCAATGTGCATTCAAAAACGTTAATGCTGCAACAAATCTGACATTGCACCTTGGGGAGATCTGGAGCTGGCTTATGAGTGTTGAAGGGTGCTGCACATGAATTTCTGTGAAACTCTGGGAGGAGGATTGTGGAAAATCAGATGGAAAGTTTTCACCCCAGGTGTGGTGGGAGTGGATCATGACCCCAGCAGCGAGCCCAGGGAGGTGAGAGACAGAGGTTTGTGTGTGGGTGTGACCTTGCGCAGTTCCCTGTTGGCTGTGGTTTTCTGTGTTAGCTTAGTGTTTCTCATGGAGGAAATTGTGCATGAGCAAACTCGAAATCCGTGCTGTGCTTAAATTGTTCTAATACGTCACTGTGTTGGAACAGATTTGCCTTTATTTATTTTATTTTGAGATGGAGTATTGCTCTGTCACCCAGCCTGGAGTGCAGTGGCATGATCATGGCTCACTGCAACCGCTGCCTCCTACATTCAAATGATTCTCCTACCTTGGCTTCCCGAGTAACTGGAATTACAGGCGTGAACCACCCGCCTTGCCAAGTTTGCATTTTTAAAACAAGTGCTAGGCTGGGCTTGGTGGCTTATGTAATACCAGCACTGTGGGAGGCCTAGGCGGGCAGATAGGAGGTCAGGAGTTCAAGACCAGCCTGGCCAACAAGGTGACACCCTGTCTCTGCTGAAAATACAAAAATTAGCCTGATGTGGTGGTGGGTTCCTATAATCCCAGCTATTCAGGAGACTGAGGCAGGAGAATCACTTGAACCTGGGAGGTGAAGGTTGCAGTGAACTATGATCTCACCATTGCACTCCAGCCTGGGCAACAAGAGCAAAACTCTGTCAGAGAAAAAAACAAGAACAAGTGCTGTAGCAGAAGCAAACACTTTGCAATGTCAGGCTTGTGTGGCCTGTTCCAGGAAGGATGTGCTCATGGCTGCAGCATGGGGCATAGTAGGTTCATTAGTGTGGAATTCTAGGACAGGCCTGGCTCCTAAGCAGCCTTCTTTTATAAAAACTATAGAGCCCACCTGCAATCCCAGAACTTTGGGAGGCTGAGGTGAACAGATCATGAGGTCAGGAGTTTTAAGACCAGCCTGGCCAGCAAGGTGAAACCCTGTCTCTACTAAAATTACAAAAGTTAGCTAAATATGGTAGCAGGCACTTATAGTCCCAGCTACTTGGGAGGCTGAGGCAGGAAAATTGCTTGAACCTGGGAGGCAAAGGTTGCAGTGAGCCAAGACTGCACCATTGCACTCCAGCCTGGGCAACAGAGTGAGACTCTGCTCAAAAAGAAAAAAAAAAAGAAACTACAAAGCCACATGGCCTCTTTCTCAACCGAGGGTCGGTGTGGGAGCTTGCGTTATTATGGTGAAATCTTGGTACTTTCTTGAGGCAGAGAGAGGCTTGTCTGGAGAGACTTTCAGATGAGTTGCTGTGTCCATCAGTTTCACTGTCTTGCTCCCCATCTGAAGGCTGGTGCTGTCTGGACAGGCTGGACGCCCCCTTCCACCAGGTCCTTCCTGCAGCAGCAGCTTGTATTTAAGCTGTACTCTGAGGTCTTGTGAGGTCTGTGTCCTTGGCTGATGGCAAAACTCGGCCGAACTGAAATTTGGAGCCATGCCTGCCTCCCTGTAGCTCCTCTCCTGAGCAGCTGTGATCATCATTTCTGTGGTGGTGCAGATGGGGGAAATGGATTCCTTTCATCTTGCTTGGAGTAGATGACTGTCACATGGAGTTCTTTGGGAAAGGGATGTGTTAATTGATGGATTTGGCTCCCATGCTGAGAGAGCTCCTGGGTGGACATTGCCTTAGAGTCTCATCAGAGCTGTGTTCTTTCATGGTGTCTAGGCAGAAGTGATGAAGGCTTGGAAAAAAACCCAGAAGGCTTTCCACTTAATTTGGAAAATGCACTTTTCCCTCTGGTGTCTTTTGCTAAGTTCCAGCCTCCTGCAGCCTCCCCGCTCCGTGGACTCTGGCTTTGATTCTTTACTAGGGGTACCCCGGCCCCTCCAAAAGATGGTGTCTAAATTATCCCATTGGCTGAGGTTTTGTTTTCTATTTTTTATTGTGATAAATATACATCACATAAAATTGATAGATTATTTTGTTCTCATTGTTTTTGAGACAGGGTCTCACTCCATTGCCCAGGCTGGAATGCAGTGGTGCGATCATGGCTCACTGCAGCCTCAACCTCCCGGGCTCAAGTAATCCTTTCAACTCAGCCTCCATAGTAGCTGGGACTACAGGCATGCATTACCATGTCTGGCTGATTTTTTGTATTTTTTCTTATTGTAGAGACCTACAATGTTGCGCAGACTGGTCTCAACTCTTGGACTCAAGCCATCCGCCTATCTTAGCCTTCCAAAGTGCCAGGATTACAGGGATGAGCCACAACACCCAGCCATTTTAACTTTAAAAAAAAAAAAAAAAAAAAAAAAAAAACCAGGATGTCATTCTGTCGCCCAGGCTGTAGTGCAGTGGCATGGTCTCAGCTCACTGCAACGTCCACCTCCTGGGTTCAAGTGATTCTCCTGTGTCAGCCTCCCAAGTAGCTGGGATTACAGGTGCCCACCACCACAGCCAGCTACTTTTTGTATTTTTTAATAGAGTTGGAGTTTTACCATGTTGGCCAGGCTGGTCTCGAACTCCTGACCTCATGATCCGCCTGCCTCTGCCTCCCAAAGTGCTGGGATTACAGATGTAAGCCACCACACCTGGCCTTTTTTTGTTTTATTTTTTTAGACAGGGCCTCAGGGCTTGTTGCCCAGGCTGGAGTGCAGCAGTGCAATCTTGGCTCACTGCAGCCTCCGCCTCCCAGGCTCAAGTTGTGCACCTCCACACCCAACTAATTGTATTTTATGTGGAGACGAAGTTCACCATGTTGCCCAGGCTGGGCTTGAACTCCTGGAGTCAAGCAATCTGCCCACCTCAGCCTCCTAAAGTGCTGAGATGACAGGTGTGAGCCACCACACCTAGCCTGTTTGACCTGTTTTGGAGTTGACGGTTAAGTGGCATTCAGTTACTTCACATTGTAGCTGTCACTGCCATCCATCCCCACACAACTTCACCTTCAGGCACTGAAACTGTCTGCATGAAACACCCACTCAGCCTTTGTTTCCCAGATGTTTGTGCCTCCTGCTGGTTGTGTGCTTTTACACATCAAGAGAAGACAATTAACATTTGAGCTAGAGCATCATTTGCTGTTGTCTGATGGGTGAGATTTTTGCCTGCATAGTCCATATTGTAATATGTTCTTGGGGCCCACAGGATTATTCTTGGTCATCTAAGATATCACTGACATTACTAAAATTTTATCACCTTCAACTGACTACTGTTTATTCTTTGAAATAACCAGACACACACATTTTTTCAGTAATTTTTTCAGTGGGTCATTTGCATGGTGCAGTACTATGTGAGACCACCTCCCCTCAGATGACCCATAGATAGTAAGAACCTGTGAACAAACATTATCACAGAAGATACCAATCACGTGTGGACATGGAGTGGTTGATTACAAGGTGGGGTAGTTAACCTGAACCCTAAGCTGACACAGACAGCAGAAGAAGCCACAATCCTTTAGAGAGAAAATAATTACAAAGTATAAATATCTTTTGTTATGAGAAACAGACCACCTACAGAGGATATAATAGTGTTAAAATGTGATCTCATTGTTCAGCTCCCACTTTTGAGTGAGGACATGCAATGTTTCTTTAGTTTTCTATTTTCTGTGTTAGTTTGCTGAGGATGATGACTTTCAGCTTCATCCATGTCCTTGCAGAGGACGTGATCTCATACCCTTTTATGGCTCATAGTATTTCATGGCGTATATGTAGCACATTTTCTTTATCCAGTCTACCACTGATGAACATATGAGTTGGTTCCATGTCTTTCCTATTGTGAATTGTGCTGCAAAAAACATATATGGAGCAGATTATGCTCAGAGCGAGATGGGCCTCTGAGCAAAATGGAGCTCCAAGCATGATGGAGCTCAGAGCAGATGGAGCTCTAAGTGTGATGGAGCTCAGAGCAATGTGAATCTCAGAGCAGATGTTTCACAGAGTGTAAGATGGAGCTCCAAGCATATGGTCTCAGAGCAAAATGGAGCTCAGCGCAGATGGTGGTCAGAGCAAGATGGAGTTTGGAGTGATTGGAGTTCTGAGCAAGCTGGAGCTTAGAGCAGTTGGTGCTCAAAGCAAGATGGAGGTTGGGGTGATTGGAGCTCTGAGTAGATGGAGCTTAGAGCAGATGGTGCCCAGAGCAAGATGGAGCTTGGAGTGATTGGAGCTCTGAGCAAAATGGAGCTTGGAGCATATGGAGCTCTGAAAAAGAGAGCAAGATGGAGCTCGGAGCAGATGGAGCTCTGAGCAAGATAGAGCTCAGAGCAGATGGAGCTCTGAGCAAGATAAAGTCTAGAACATATGGAGTGCAGAGGAAAGGGAGCTCTGACCAAGATGGAGCTCAGAGCAGATGGAGCTCTGAGCAAGATGGAGCTCAGAGCAGATGGAGCTCTGAGCAAGATGGAGCTTGGAGCTGATGTTCCTCTGTGTAAGATGGAGCTAAGGGCTAGATGGAGCTTGGAGTGAAAGGAGGTCAGAGCAGATGATACTCAGCAAGATGGAGCTCAGAGTGATTAGAGCACTGAGCAAGAATGGAGCTAGGAGCAGATGGCCCTCTGAGCATGATGGAGCTCGGAGCAGGGAGCTCTGAGAAAGATGGGGCTCAGAGCAGATGGAGCTCTGAGCAAGATGGAGCTCAGAGCAGATGGAGCTCTGAGCAGATTGAGCTGAGACAAGAAGGAGCTCTAAGCAAAATGGAGCTTGGAGTTGATGTTCCCCTGTGTGAGAGCTAGATGGAGCTTGGTGTGAAAGGAGCTCAGAGCAGACGGTGCTCAGAGCAAGATGGAGCTTAGAGTGATTGGAGCACTGAGCAAGATGGAGCTTGGAGCAGATGGAGCTTGGAGCAAGATGGAGTTAGGAGCAGATGGAGCTCTGAGCAAGATGGAGCTCGGAGCAGATGGAGCTCCGAGCAGATTAAGCTCAGAAAAGAAGGAGCTCTAAGCAAGATGGAACTTGGAGCTGATGTTTCTCTATGTAAGATGGAACTTAGAGCTAGATGGAGCTTGGAGTGAAGGGAGTTCAGAGCAGATTCAGCTCAGACCAAGATGGAGCTCATAGTGATTGGACCTCTGAGCAAGGTGGAGCTCAGAGCAGATGGTTCTTACAGCAAGATGGAGTGCAGAGTGATTAGAGCTCCAAGCAAGATGGACCTTGGAG